TGTTAGTTTCATCTGGTTTTAATTTGTATTTAATTAATGACTAAAGATTAGCATTGAGTATACTGCCATGCCTGACTTTTGGCTTTTTTGATAAACTGGCTTGTCATATTATTGAGTTGTAAGACTTTGTTATGTAGTTTGGATACAATTCCGGTTTTGGAAATCTCCCAGGCTAAGCCTTTGTCTTCCTCCTCCTCCTCCTCCTTCTCTTCCTCTTGTGGCATCATTAGAATTTCTGAGGATGTGCTTCCCTGCAGGTGCTCTGCTCTTGTCTTACAAAGCCTGAATGTACTGCCAGTTCCTGAGCAATGCTACCAGGAAGTAGCCAGATAGCCAGATAGTATTAGCACAAGCTCACTGTCACCTCCAAATGGGCAGTGGTCTCTGACGAAAATGTGAACAACTGTGAGTGTGAGGGGCGGCCGATGGATTGATGGATTGTAGTGGGGACTAAATCCAGGGTCTCACACTGAGCTGCGTTCTCAGCTCTTTTTTTGTTTGGTTTTGTTGTTGTTGTTATTGTTGTGAGATAGAGTCTTTCTAAGTCGCTCACTTGTCCAGGATGGACTCCAACTCAGAACCCTACTGCTCCGGCCTTCCAGAGTGCTGGGATTTCTGGCATCTAACACATTTATCAGCTGTTTTTTTGTTGTTGTTGTTTTGTTTTTGTTTTTGTTTTGAGACAGAGCCTCCACGCAGAGTCCAGGATGGCTTTGAATGCATGGCAGTCCCCCTGCCCCAGCCTCCTGAGCGCTGAGGTTACAGGTGCTCATCATCATGGCCGCCTGGCCTTTATTCACTTTGGTCACCATGTTCTCACGCTGGCTCAGAAGGGAGGGAAACTCGCGAGCCTTATGCAAGCCTGGCCCAGGATTTATGAAGCTTGCTTGATTAGACTTGGAGGGGCCATACGTCTGGGCCAGCTTCTCAGCCAACTTCTCATTCTTGTTGAGTTTCTTTCCCTGGATATCTGTGCAGGCTCCTGCTCCACCTGGGCTTGTCACACAGGCCACACACGGAGAACTGGGGTGGAGTGGATGGATTTAAGCCTCAAGATGCCCAAGAGGGCCATAGTTCTTCAGGGAGATTTACAGCTGACTATTTGCAAACATAGCTGGCGACTGTGCCCGACTTCCTCCAACAGCCCTGAGCTCACAGGAAGCCTTGTACAGGATCTACTGCTCATGCTGCCTCGAGCCCCAGTAACTGGGAAGGAGAGCTGTCCTTTCACCCCTCCACGCCTCCTCCTTCCTCCTCCTCTTCTTTCTGTGGTTTGGGAACCAAAGCCAGGGCCCTGCTTGAGCTAGGCAAGTGGATTATACTGAGCTATATCCCCAGCGCCCACTATATCTCCTTAACAGAGTCTTTTGAAGAAGAAACTTTTGATTTATTTATTTTTGGTACTGGTAATTGAACTCAGGGCCTTGCCCTTATAAGGCAGGTGTGGGGCCACAGAGCTAAATCCCTGGCAGAAGAAACATTTAAAATTTTGCCGAAATCTAATTCATGGTTTTTCCTTTTGCATTTCACATGTTTATGACCTATTTAGTTAATGTTTGCTTAACCCCAATCCATTCAGATTTGCTCCTCATGTTGTATTCTAGAAAGTTTACAGTTTCAACTCTTTCGTTTGCTCCATGACCCATTTCAGTGAGGCAAGAGATTTTGAATCTCAAACTAAAATGCCTTTTAGAAGACAGCTTGAACCCCACATTGCTGCACAAATGTGCATCAAACACAGTTTGTCGGCCAGGGATCTAGCTCAGTGGTTCCACCACCCGTCTTGCAAACACAAGGACCTGAGTTCAATTCCTGATGTAAAAAACAAAACACAAAAAACAAAAAACAAAACACAGTTTGTCTCTCCCTCCAGTCCAGTTAAGTAGAAGGAGATGCAAATTGCTATTTATTATTCTACTTACTTCTGGAAGATTGGAAATATCTTACTTTTTATCATTATAACATGTGTCTTCTTTTTTATTTCTGATATTATTCACACCTTTGCTAATTTTAGTATTCAAGTGTCTTATTTTATTTTTTGATTTTTTTGAGACAGGGTCTCACTGTGTAGTTCAGGCTGGCCTTCAACTTGCTGTGCAGCCCAAGCTGTCCTCAAACTCGCCTCAATCCACCTGCCCCAGCCTTACCACCACATCCTGTATGGACTTTTGATCCATTAATTTTTCTTTGTAAATTTTTGCCTTTTATACAGACAGCCTTGAAAAAGTTATAAGAATATTTTATCAAGGCATTGTTCTATAGTTGTAATTGAATGTACCTCTGTACTTCTTTACCTTTTTCTTTAAACCTTGGTTTTAAGTAGCTTGGTATTATTACTGTGATCACAGTTTTCTTTAGGTTATTTTATTTTATTTTTTTGAGACAGGGTCTCACTGTTCAATTCAGGCTGGTCTTGAACTCACTATATAGTCCAGACAGGTGTTGAACTCAAGGCAATCCTCCTGCCTCAGCCTCCCTAGTGCCAGGATTACACATGTGCACCACTGCACCCAGCATTTGCTTTAGGTTACTACTGGCCTGGTAAATATTTTTCCAATGCTTTATTTCAGTGCGGCTTTGGTTCACAGTTGTCTCTTGTAAAAATATATATAGCTAGATTTTTTTCCTCTTAAAATATCATATGAAAAAAAATCACAATTAATTAATTAATTAATTTTTCATACTAGGGATTGAACTCAGGGCCTTGGGCTTGCCAGGCAGGCATGGCTGAGCTACATTCCTGGATCAGATATTTTAGTTTTTGACTTGAAAAAAGTTGTTATTTTGGCAAGCCATAGGGTAATCAACCTCCCCAAGGAATTTTATTTTCATTGTTTCTTGTATTTCACATTTTCTGTTTTTCTGAAAACCAGTACAACAGTGGTTCAGACATTTGAACTATGATTATCCTTTGAATGACATTTAGGTGCATTTAAATTCTGGGTTGAGAGTGCTTCTGCATTTGTGGGCCATAGCATCAGTTTAATGATCATCGTTACTGTTCAGTAAAATGAAATGTGATGGAGTAGGAAATATTAGCGCCACAATGCTTAGTTCTGTGTCAGCATGTACAAGCATACATGGATATATTCATAGCTATTATGTATATATTCCATATTAAAACTGGCCCATGTAGAGATCAAGATCAACAATATATGAGATTGTAATAATTTTCATTAAATCGTGTTTGGATTAATGATAAATATTAAGGTAAGACTTATGCCTTTTTCAGATATCCATAAAAGTAATCCATTCATTGACTTATGGAGTATAAAAGCTTTGATGGAGAATCTAGTAGGGAGCAGATGCCATTTCTTTTATGTGGAAAAGGTACATTTTTTTCTTATAGTGGTTGAACATTTTATAACCTCTGGTAAAGATAATAGTCTAGAAATATCTACCCATGGCAGCCTTTAAAACTGGTTGTGTAATGTCATTAATCCTATAGCTGTGATTCTCAGTGGCTTCAAGGTTAGGAATGAAACTGGGTTTCTGGTGGTGTTGTTGAAACAGGTCCTTGCTGTACAGCTCACACAGGCCTTGAACTTTGTGTGTAGCCCCGACGGGCCTCGGCTGCCATCCTACTGCCTGCAGAGCTGCACCCCTGCACCCTGCTGAAACTGTGGACTTTTAAATGATATTTGAATTCATTGGACAACACTTTCTGTAGCCCATTATATCAAAAGAATTTAATGTCCTGTGGAAGTGAAAGCTTGAAGGGCCTTTTGAGACTCTTCCAAAGCAAGTGATGATATTAAAAAAAAAATTAGGAAACAAAAATATGTGCATGACTTAAACAGCCTATGAAGATAAGTGCAAAGGAAAGTTTAAGATTAAATAAAGACTGGAAAGTACTAAACATTATGTGCATTTATTTGCAGTATTGGGAATCATTTCCAAGGCCTTCACACAGAGCTTAACTCCCAATCCCTTTTTTTATTTTTAAATTTGAAATGGCGTCTTGCTAAGATGCTACATTGTCCAGGCTGTGTTTGAAATTACGATCCTCCTGCCTCAGCCTCCAAGAGTGGCAGGATTTAAGGCGCATACCACCACATCTGACTTGTATTCACTGTGTCTTTCAGGGTGTAGAATATCTTCCCAAAACTTGTACCCCCAATTTCTACCACACTGGTCGGTACACAGCTGGCAACTGATAAACTTTTCTTAAATTTTAAATGAACTGCAGAGCGTGTGGTGGTGCATGCTTGTAATCCCAGCACTTGGGAGGCTGAGGTAGTAGGAAAGCTGCCAGTTCGAGGTCAGTCTGGGCTACATAGTGAATTCAAGGCCAGCCTAAACTACAGAGCAAGACCCTGTCTCAAACAACAACAACAACAACAACAACAACAACAACAACAACAACCCCAAAAAACAAAATTTAAAGAACTGATGGGGTTAGAAGTTTAGAAAGTAAAGCCTGAGTCACATTATCTCTCAGAATACAGAAGAGGTAAAGTAATTATTTAATTGCTGTTTTTCTTTTTTTTGGTACCGGGGATTGAGCTCCAGCCCTTGCACTTATCAAGGCAAGCAGTGGAACCACTGAGCTAAATCCCCAACCCTTTGGAACTGCTATTTTTAACCCTTATCTGAATCTCTGATTTCTTAATTGACTAAGGCCAAGTTTCACTGCTTCTCCTGGTAAGGCTACCCTTTTGTAAAAAAAAAACAAAAACAAAAACAAAACAAAACAAAAGAAAAAAACCAACAAAACAAAAAAAACCCAACAAAACAAAACAAAACAAAAAACCACCCTGTGGCGCCATCTTCCGGAGCTGTAAGGAAACTCCGAATTAAAAATCCACACGATCCTTTTCTAGGCTCTCTACACTCCTCCCATTTATTTTTTTGAGGTTCTCTGCACGCATGCGCCTTGGGTTAAAAAAAAAACCTAACAGAAAACCGAGCCATTGAAACTACAATTCCCAGAAGGCCATGCCACAGGGAAAAAACAAATCTCGCGAGAGAATGTGACCAGGGCGGCTGCGCGAAGTGGGCGGAGGGGCGGGGAGAGTGAGGAGGAAGAGGAGGCGGAGCCGTCCCACAATACCAGGCGGGCGGGCGGTAGGCGGTGTATCCGGGCTGAGAGGCGCTCGGAGCCGCGGCGGAGCTCGCAGCCCTGTCTCTTTAACGCGAGAGGAAGCGATGCGGAGGGGTGGAAAATGGCAGAGCTGCAGATGCTACTAGAGGAGGAGATCCCGTCGGGCAAGCGGGCGCTGATAGAGAGTTACCAGAACCTGACCCGGGTGGCGGACTACTGCGAGAACAACTACATTCAGGTGCGGGCGCGGGCGCGGGCGCCGCCGCCGCCT